GGGCGAAAGTGTATCAGCAGACTGCAAATTTTTGAATCATGTCAAGTGTGAACTGATTTCTTTAACGAATGACGAAGTGGCAATTGGCTCCGATGTGAATTCGAATTTCGAGGATAATCGAAAAGATGAGTTTTCTCTCGTGAGAAGTGAGCCTGGTCTCAAACTGTGGAAAAATGTGATGAAGTGCCTGTGTCGAAATCTCAAATTGGCTTGCACGATAATCACAAATATACCGATGAAGGTATTGATTGTCTTTTTGATTTGTTGCTTTTTAAGTTCTTTTTCCGAATTCTCAGCGGCATTTTTAAAACTAAATTAATGCGGCTAAATATGACCATTCTTGAGTTTTGACTGAGCTCGAAAATCTAAAATAGCCGGTCTTAAATGTCCTCGTCCCACTACCACTGCCAAAGAGTACCTTCGCACGCCTGCAAGTTGTTAAACTCCGATTTTAGTAAACTTTTTTTTCCGTTTTTTATTTTCTCTTTATTTGGCATGAAAGTTTTCGGCTTATAACATATCGGCTTCAAGGCCTCTTTGTGAGTCGTTTGAGAAACGAAATGGTTTTATCTGAATGTTTTCAGGGGGGAATTTAAAAAAATTTTTTTGAGTTTTTAGGTTCTTTAGATGAAAACATTTTGTTTTTCGGCACAACACATGTCTGCTCAACAATCGTCGGCTTTGTTACCGCGTTTTAAGTTTTGTTTTGATGCTTGTTACCCTTGCGACAAGCAAGGGTTTTGCAATCGGTATAAGACTTTTTCCCGTAAATAATTTTGTTCCCAGGACTCACTCCTGCTCTCCTTCACCTCTTTTTCTTCGTTCCAAATCCTACTCCACTCGGTTGCAAATACTAAGCTTGTTTGCGTTTGGTAGAATGTTACATATCCGTTCTTTTCGAATATTGCTTTTTGTTTTGGTTTTAGTTATTTCAACTCTATTTGTTAAACTTGTATTGTTTGTTTTGTCCTTTTTTTCGGCTTAATAGGTTTCGGCCTATTTACACTAGCCAACTTTAGTGAGCGTTAATTTTATATACGGCTATTCTTTTTTTTCTAATCTAAGTCGCAAATATTGGTACCACGTTTGGCGCACTTTTACGGCTTTTCGATAGCATGTACTTTGACATTCGAATAGTGATAAGTTAACTCAGTTGAGGCATTTTAAATTCATCAGATGAACCGAAAAAATGCTGTGTTTCAAACAACATAACAGCCATAAAAACTCGATTTCAGAAATATTCTAACTCCATATATCTCGCTTTTTTCTGAAATGCATAATTTATACATAATGTGGCTTTATGCTTTCCAATTTATTACATGCAAAGTTAGTGTTGATGTCTTCAGTTTATTATATTCCTATAACTTGCAAAATTGTTTCTATTTGTATTTGGTGCCACTTTTGCGGCATGGTATTGTCAATTTGTTAGCATGTGTAGCTGCTGTATTTGCGACAGTGTTTGGCGTTTGTTAAGTCGAGAGGGCAGGGCGTGAGACTCCATTCGCAGGTTCGAAGCACATTTTTCGATTTCTCGGTTCATCTGCAAGTAGTGATTGTCATTCATTTAGTATCGCAAGTGCGCGAAGCTCTCCTTCGCCTCTGTGTAAATATTATGATGTTCAACACTTTTTGAAAATCGATTTCTTGTGAAGGCAAGTTATATATGATTATATTTTCTTCTCTTTTTAAATCTTCCATATTAATTTTGATCTTTCAAATTCTTTGTGTTTTCCGCATCTTTCAACTTTTTTTGGTGTTTTCAGGAGGAACAGCAGAAGCACACTTCAGTCAACTACGATGTCGAACTTCTCCATCAAAGTCAGGCCCACGACGTCATCCTCGCAGATCGTAAGCTCATTTTTCGTATTCCATGTCGCTGAATATAATTTTTTCTCCATTAATTCAGTTCGACGATTTCTCAAATGGCATGGTCTTATGGCTACTGAGGAAATGAGCAGAAGACTTTCTCCGCTTTTTCTTTTCTGTCTTCTTCGGCTGCAGCGCATTTGGGCCTCCTGGAAACGGAACAGCAGCCTCCAGTCGTTCGTTGACGACCTGGACTCATTGCTTTAAATGACGTTGCTTTGAGCAAAGTTGAGTTCCCTGTAGTCTCATCATGAAAACACAATCCTTCTGTTCCCGCCCGATGCATCTGCATTTGCAGGGATATCAAACAAATATAATTATTGCATGGCGTTTTTCAACAGTTTTATACTAATTTTTGAACTTCTAACTAATTTTGAACTTCTAACTAATTTTTGAACTAAACAAAGTGGAAAATAATAATTGCACTTTGTTTGCAATTATGCGAGAGTTTGGTTTGTTTCAGAATCGCAATACAGAGCGATAACTTCAATTAGCAGTGGTGGCATACCAGCCGTCAATCTGAAGTGGTTATCGCCAAAACTGGAAGGAGGTCCAGGGGCCATCACTAATTGCATTGGAACCTACAGAATCAGTCCTTTAGATGTACTCGCCAGACATTCGACCTGTTTGACCAATTTTCTAACCAGTGGTAAGTAAGGCCAGAGACTGATGTGTTGATTATGTTGAATTGGCTGGTGTCATTGTCATTTAAAAAAAAATGCGTTGAAATGCTTTCCAGTTTTTTTTTACTGCGAGGGGAACGTGGTTCGCTAACGCTAAGGACACATTGTTTTCAACTGCGATGATAACACAACCTCACTTGAGGTAGTTTTTAATTATATGTATTGAAAAAAAATGTTGAATTTTTTTCAAATTGGTTTTCGTCCTAAGTTCTGTCGGCTGATTTTCCGATCTCTTTTTTCAAAAGCAGTTTATATTATCTGGTACGTTTTTCAAGGAGTTTGTTTCCAAAGCTTGGGTTTTTAAAATTTTTTGTTCAATAAAAACAGTTCTTACGAAAAGGTATGTGATTTGGGTTTGAATTTTTTTAGATGCTTCAAAAAAATGTTCTTACTTTTCTCAAAATTTTTAGTTTTTCTCAGAAGTTTTCTAGCCGATTTTCAACAAAGTGATTCCAATAGAAAAATTAGCCTTCTTGAAAGTAGGTGCAGAGAATTTTTGACCCATTTTTGGATTTTTTTTTTGAAAATGTACACCCAAATTTGAGATTTTGGGCTCAATCGAAAGCACGGGCTGAAGAAAGTTTCCCAGCATTTTTTTCCTCAAAACGCTATGGCCCTCAGAAAAGTCGAAAGGTTTGACTTATTCAAAAAATACCCTCCCAAAGACTTTGTGTTCAATGGATACAACTGGTTCTTAGAAGCGCTCCTGCATAATTGGCTACACTCAAATTTTTTTACACAAAAAGTTATGTTCCCCTGAAAAATCAAATTTTCGATTTTTGACCTGTTTTTGAAACTTGTGGACTTGTCTCGAAAATTAATCTCCCAAATCAGAGATTCTTAGATTCAATTCAAGAAAAGGTTATGAGAAATTCATCGGCATCAGCGGCTACGCCCAAATTTATTTGAATAAACGGTTTATTTGAATAAACGGTTTTATTTGAATAAACGGTATTTGAATAATCGGTTTAGTCAAAATTATGGTTTTTTGACCGTTTGTCGAAATTTTTGAGTTTCATAAGCAACACTGTTCTGAATCTCAGATTTTGCATTCAATCGAAATAACGGGATGTGGAAAGCTCCCCTGTATAAGCGGTTACCCCTTGATTTTTTCAAAAAAAAACTTTTGACAGTTTTTTAGAAGCTTTGACTTTTCTCGAAAACTACTTCGCCAACTTTCAGATTAATAGTGCAATCAAAGAACCAGGTTGTGGGATTCTTCGGTGCATAAAACGGTATGCCCTATTTTTAAAGATATAGTTGTAACACTCGGAAAAGACAAAATTGATTGTTTTTGGGAGCGTTTTTTGGAATCTTTTTGACTCTTCTTGAAAAGTACCATTCCAAATCAGATTAGATTAAGACTACCAAATCAATGAAACTGGTTGCCAACTTCTTTCTTGCAGAAGCGTCGACCCCTTATTTTTTTTTATTTGAAACATGTCCTTGGAAAGGTCCACATTCTGAAGTTTTCGCCGTTTTCGAAATTTTTCAACCTTTTCGAAAATTACTCTGGTAAATCTGAGATTAGAGCTCAGTGGAAAAAACAGATTATGGGATTCTCCTCAGTATTAGTGGCTTCGCATTCATGGGTTTGATTTAAAAAAATGATCTCAAAAACTTTAACCTATAAAATTTTTAATGAGTACAATTTCGTTTTGGGCTGAATGAGGGTCGACATAAGTTTTTCGCCTTATTTGACGCTCGTTCCTTGATTCTCAATGTTTATTAAGTCTTTTTATGAGCATAATCCGAGCCAAAGGCATGAAATTTTTGTATGCGCAGTTTTTTTGAGTAATTTTTCTCAGGTTTACTTTTACAAAAAATTACTTCCTTTTTTATTAATATCTTTTAATGAAATGTTTTAATTGTATCGCAAGTGTTGCGAAGCTTCACCACTGGGTAATGTTTACACTATAGCGGCTTTAAAAGGTGGGCTTCATTTAGCAACGCAAGAATATCTAAAAATCATCACAGCATTTTGCGTACATGCAAAACTTTAGTCTCAATTAATGTGTGCGAATTCCATGGGCGATCTTCTGTGCAAAACTTTGGCCTGATTTAAAAAAGTAAAAATTGGTAATCACGCTTTAATCTTAGAAGCTCAAAAGCTTGGGTTAGTATTTGTAAGTTAAATTGTGTCCTTTAGCGGGGGAGACGATACATATCTGCGCCTTGGCCTTTCTTGGTTTTTTGTATTAGACAATATGTGCTGTTGTTTGAGCCTTCTCTTGACGTGTTTAAGAATCTTTGTTCCTAGGTCGAACTGTGACGTTGGAACAGAGTCAAAGAGACCCCTCCACCCCCTCTCAGTCTCAGTGTAGTCTACCTCTCAGTGCCACCCACATCATGACCTGTCACTCGGGGGTCATTTATTTGCACATTTTGGCCCATCCCAGACCATGTGCGCCCCTAGAAGACGGAGGCATGCCCTCCATCACTGAGTGTCCAGGGGGAAAGTTGCTGGACTACAGAGTTCCGGTGTGTTCACTCAAATGACAGACTAATTATTATAATGTTTGGATTTATCGGCTGCTGTAAAAGGTATATCGAGTAACGGGACATAGAAGTTGCTACTTTTTGATTTCAACAAGCAAATGAATGAAATTTTTGTTAACGTTTTTGCCGTGTTCTTTGCATATATTTAGGATATAAGATTGAAATTTTGACATATGCTAGATGAAACTATTTGGAAGGGCTTAACGTCTATGTCCCGTGACTGTATATCATAAAGTTCTGAACACAGTTGTCATTTTGAAGTTTTGAATAATAATTTTTTGATTGGTGGACGGGGTAGCTCAAGTTTTGGGACCTATTAACTTGCAGATTGATAAACGTATAAGGTCAGATCAACTCAAGTGTACAGCAAATAAAATTATCAACTATATGGCGTAAAATTACACCAGCTCTTCTGACATATTCAGACCGCTTTTTATCGACAACCAAAAATGTTTTTTTTTGTAAGTTTTTTATTATAGCTGGAACCAAATAAGCGCTTCTAGATGATACATCAGTCTCAATCGACCCCATATGACGTTAATGCCTATTTTTCGAAAAATCTTGACCGAAAAATCTGCCCACGCCAATCCAAATTTCCCCTCACCTTCGGTGTTGGAACACTGATGATAATATTTGATTTTATATGAAGTTATGTTAAGTTATACAATGTTAAACAATATATAGTAAAGTTATGATATACAAAAATTAGATCGTTTTGTGTATCGAACAAATTAAGCTAAGGAAAAATGAAATATTACCTCCACAAATATTCTACTCAATCGTTGAGTTAATCTTTTTCAAAGATGGGTTTTCCGCTAAATTTTTGTCCATTCGTATTTTGTGAAACATTTGATTTTTTGATATTTTTTGAACCGATCTCTTCATTCAAGATGTTTGCATTCGCTTCATTGAAATTTTTCCATTATCTATTTTTAGTAAACAAGTTTTCTCTCGATTCTTGAGGTTTTTGGTTTTTCAGGACATGGTGAAGGTTATCAAGAGCTCACTTTTGGCACCAATTAAGCCTGAAACGAATCTCGAAGGTATAAATCTCAACAAATTACGTAAGTTTTTATCTCAACAAATTAGTTATCCTGAAGAAAAAATTAGATTCAAGTAAAACGAAATGTTGCCAGGCCGTGGGTTGCATGAGCGGAAAACCAAGTTCTTTCCTCTCACTTCAAGTCAGTGTCTTCTTACGAATCTGAGTGCGGTACGTTTAAGAATTTATTGGGAGTGCTGTTTTGTTATTTAAAAAAATTAATGCACCGTTGCGGCTTAATTAGCGTTGAATAATAGAATCATGCCTTTTCTTTGTTTAAAAATTGTAAAATTATCTGAAAAATTAAGTTTATATTTGGTTTCGCATTTTTCTGGACATAAAATTATTCGGTACTCAGAACAGAAGAAAAATCGAAACAAGTTAAACTTTTCTGATTATCTGTTTCGATGATAGTATCTTCCTCTATTGCTGGATGGACTGAGCAAGAGTGTGATGAGTGAGCGAGAGTACGGGGAGGTGGTCAGACTCATCAACTCTCTCGCGGGCCTCGAGAAGCAGAATGTGTCCCTTCCCATCGCCAACAACGCCAACAGACCACCAAAGAGGTAATACGTCTGTTTAAAAGTATTTATTTCAAGAAGGTTACTAGAAGCTAACTAAGATAGTTTGCTGTAGTAAAAATGATCGCATCCTCGTTGTCTAATTACTTTTTTTAAAGCTGACCTCGACCTGCATTAGTTAGAAGGTATTTTTCTCCTTCATAAAATCTTTGCATTGGACAATGGACAGAACTTTTTGTGCGAGCTTCATCACTCTTCGAAAGAAAATGAGTTGTTTGGAAAAATGAGATTCTCAATGCTAACAGTTGAAGCGCCCCTAAGCGCCTAGAAAGTGGCATAACAAGTTTAGTTTTGGAAAATTCATGTAGCTCATCGGAACAACCTTTTTCAAAAATAAACGGGCTTTTCAAAATTGTTGATTCTTTTTTTTTCTTTAGAGAGCAGGAAGTATTGAAGTTTCGGCATGTTTTTGAGACAGCAAGGCAAACAATGCAAATGCAATTAAAAGTTTTTCTGAACTTTCTTTCTCAATTATGAGGAACTGCAGAAATTTTGTCCTTTGTTTTTATCTCAAATCAATGACAACTTTTTTATGAGATTTGGCAAAAATTGAAAGTTTGATTAGTTTAATACGATTTTAAACTCTTGTTTCCTTTTATTTCAATTTAAGTTCGTAAAGAAAAGTATTTGTATTATGCTGTGTATTCGTATTCTCAGGTCGACCGTAAAATTCCTGCTGATAGCAAAAGTATTATTTTTCGCGGCATATTTCTACTTGTTTTTCTTTAATTCATTTTTCAATCATTCGTAAATTGCTCTACAAATTCAAAGAGCTTAATGGGCATCAATTTTTTTGAATTTCGAATTTTGTTTTGTTTTTCTGTCATTATTTTGTTTATTCTGTTCATTGACACTGTCTTTGTTGTTTGTTTTTTTTTGTTCAGGAAAATGTCTTAAAGTTGTTAACTCTACACTTTGATTACGCTTTGATTTTTCGTGGCTTGCTTTGTGATTTTAAGTTTAATAAAACTTAATTGCGATTTTTAATCTGGCTAATAAAAAAAATCATTTTTTTGTTTTTTTTAATTTCTTTATATCATTTTTTTGTTTTTTTTTTGCTTTTGAATTTTTTCCTTCAATCATCATGGTCGAACATTCTGTGCTAATTGCTCAGAAACTGTATTCTTTATTTCGTTAGAGGAGCATCTGATCTCTGTAATGCAACTTATTACGATAAGTTTCATGGAGGCATTTTTCATCAGTATTTGGTGTAATTTTATCGTGACTAGTGTTTGTCGGTGGTTAAACGTGCGTGGCTGAGTGGTTAGTGCGTGAAACTCGAAATCTCTAGATTGCAGTAGGGCGCAGATCGAATCCTAGACCGAGCCAAAATTTTACTCATTTGAGGCTTATTTCTTTCTATTTTTTCTCATTGCATTTTCTAGAGCTGCTTTTTGTCGTGTTCTCGGTAGTGTGTGCGAAGCGAAGCTTCGCCTTTGTGTTCAAAAATGAGCTACTTTTCTGAATCATCAGTGGAGTAAATAAATGTTTTTTTTTTTCGATCCAGTTTTTTCTAAATAGGATGATTTAACGGAAAAGTTGCCATTCGTAAACAATATTTGAAATTCCTTGAGCTTCAACGTGATATATTTTTTTCTTCGCAATTCGCGATTTCATTTTTACTTTTTTTTTATAGCTGTCTGTTGACTATATTTGGGAATGCATTTGGGATGTGAGATTTGAAATAAGGTTATGTTTGAATTTGGGATGTTTGATTGTGGCGCTGAAAGGCTTATGTATTTGAAATTATGTTGAATGGTAGACAATGCATGTTATTACTATTTCAGAGATGAGCAGTACAAGCTAATGTGGAGCGAGTTATTAGAAATGACGAGGCTCTTTTCTCAGCAGTCAGGCCGACATCATGCAATATTTGTACTAGTTAATGCCCTCAAGAACGGACAACCGATACCGACTAATTTGGAAGAAATCGCCAGGTGATGAAAAAGTTAAATAGGCTTAAACTTCATAAACACATTCGTCGTTCGTTTTACAGTCTTTTCCCGTCTTACCACACCCTATTAGTGAAAAATTTCAAATGGAATTATGATTCATGGTGTTCGATTCCAAGTTGGCATGTGGACTAATGACCCAAATCCATATGTCCCCATAAATACATTTGTCCCCATAAACTCTCATTACACTATAAATTTGATACTTATGAATTTAATGTGGAAGGGGAAGAGCCTTTCTTTTTAGTTTCAATTTGATTGACTGATTTCTTTTTCCAAATTTGATAAGATCATCAGCTCTGAAAATCCAATGTTTTTATTGAATTTTTAAGTTTTTGCTTCTTTCTGATGCTTTTCCTTTTGGAAAAATTTTAAGAAGCTTCGGCCAATCGATTTCTGTCAATCGATTTTTCTAATGAAAATTTAATTGATAATTTTTCAGAAACTTCGCGCCGCCTATAGAAGACAATGGATCTGAAACAGAAATGGATTGTACTGATGCGAATATTCGAAGTACGAAAAGAAAATTGGATCGGGATAATAATTCAAATAGAGACAGTATCACCCGAAACAGACCTAGTCTTCTGTACCCTCTCATAAAACTGACCCCAGATATGTTCAGTGGGAAGAAATCTCTCTATGAAGTATGGGACGAACAAATGCGAAGTGCATACGAGAAGAAGAGACGAGTGTTCTCGAAGCGACACGACCCAAGTTATTCTCTATACTGCCACGTGAACTTGGAAGACAAACCTACAGCCACATGAACTTTTCATCTTGGCATTATCGATGCTGTTTCTTTTGCGCTGAATTCATCTTCCTGAAATGGATCTTGACTTAAATTTGATTTTTATGAAATAGTTTGTCCTTTTTCTTTGTGAATTCGACGTATCTATAGTGCTTTTAAAAACTCTGCTTATCTTAGTTGGCGTTAATCTTAGTGGGCGTAGCGATTATCATGTGTGCCTTTTAGCATGCGTTTATTGCCTTAACTGGGTGTGCTTTCAGACGAAAAAACATTCGCCTAAAATTTCGAAATATTTCGAAATCCACTGATTTGATAGGGGAGCAAAAATTTCCTCTTCGCTTAATTGAAATTTCAGTTGAAGGTAAAATGTTGAAAATTGCAAATTTGAGTTTAAAAAAACGTGTAATGTGCATTGGAAAAACCTGGTTTCGTTAAACAATCATGGCTGTCATAAAAGAGTACCGAAAAGGAGACCCTCCCCGTCGCTTGCTACTGACTTGCAGAGTTTTGGTTACTCTTGTTATTTCTTTTTCATATCGTCTCAGGCGAGCGTTGAACGTGTGTTTGACAACGCAGTATGTATAATGCAATTCTGCAGCTGGTTTTAAAGCGTGTTTTTAAATACACGTAGTCTCATATTGTACCGTCACTTTTTGTATTTGCCACTCTATTATCTAAGTTAGACCGTTAAAAAATGGATTTTGCATTTCACAAATCGATCGCAGAAAATCTTCTGAAGAAAACGGAGAAAGAAGTCGAAGAAATTGAGGCATCGGATTTGGCGCCCGAAATGAAGATAGCACAGCGATATAGAGTGATGCAGCTAGCATTTGATGAAATAATTGAGGAGTCCAAATCTTACAAAGACATTCTGAAAACAATAAAAATGTCATACGATGACTATTTACAACACCTCGAGGAGTCAAATTTCAGCTCCATTACTTTGTCAAGTAAACTGAAAAACATGGCGGCGCGCACGACAACGTTGTCAAATTTGAGAAAACGTGGAGATCAATTGGAAGAAAACCTGCTTCGCCTAAGAGCACAGAATGAGTATTTAAAAGAGGAAATGTTAAGCATGGACATGGAGTTATCCGAACACTCGTCTACTGGTCAGAATTTTGAGATATTTGCAAGAGAGCCTCCGAAAAAGGCGCCCAAAAGCAAGAAAGCACAAATGATTGAAAGCGCCCGAACAGGTAGGTGATTTCCAGTAAAATCAGCATGCAACTTTGTTTTCACCATCGCAAATAAGCTTCTCTAATAAAAAATTGTACGTGTCAAAATGTGTTCTGACACCCTCAAATAAAACCAGGAAAATTGAAATACTTATTAAGAGTCGATGGACGTTGTTCAGATTCTTATATAGGTCGCGATGGTTTTTTTTCGCTTTTTTCCAGGTTCAAACTTACTTTTTCGCGGTTTGACTTCTGATATCTTTTTAAGTTCAGTTCATTTCCTTTGTTAAAAAAAAGATATCCACCATCGAACAGCGAAAGTGTACAGGTCACGAAAAACGTGATCGAGTTCTAGTTTCCAAAGTGGAATTCAATTATCGAGTTTTGCCAGCGAAATAAAAATTTTACCTATTGATCTAGTTTTCTCAAATTGGGTTAATTTTATCAAAAATGTGTATATCATAAATTGTTCCAGAAATTCAAAGAGTTTTAAAGCCATGTTTTTTTGGAAAATCGAAAGATGAGATTTCAAAAAAAAATTGTATTTTTTTTCTGTTTACTTGCGTCCATTGACTCTTTTCCTACTTTTCTAGTAAGAGCAAACTTTTAAATCTGAGTTTTTCTGAAACTGAAGTCAAACTTCTAAAAAATTTACTTTATCACTTTTCGAACTGATGCAAGTTGCTTTTGAGAAAAGAGTAAATAAACTGCAAAAATCCTTTGCAGGCTCGAGCAAACAAATCTTCGACCAGCTCGGGGTGAGCGAGTGTCTGGATGAAGAAAAACTGAGAGATACTCTAAGGAGTCTGAGTTCGCAATTGGAAGTGTTGGAGGAGCGTCGGAGGAATCTGTTCATAAGTAAAGAGGACCACGACGAGTGTTGGGAGGAATATGCTAAGAAGACGGATCAGAGAAGTTTGCTGGAAAACACTTATTTTGGTAAGTCATATTCTGACTTTAAATAAGAGTGATGAATTTCTGCTTATTTTCCAAATTGTGCAGTGGGCGGATAAACAAGCTGACATATGTTACACAAGGCAAATCAGCTTAGTAAATTTTTAAGAGTCATAAACGTAGTGAAATTTTTCATAAAGGTCTTGGTGGTTTTTTCCTGGAAAAAGTCTTAAGTTTGTTCTCGCTCAAAACTGATTTTTCGCTGTATGACTTTTGATTTCTTTTCAGTTGACTTTATTTTTTTTGTTAAAAAGAAGGCAAAATCCACTATTGAACAGCAAAAATGTAAAGGTCACGAAAAATGTGATCGGCTTCTTTTTTCGAAAATAGAAATTAATTATCAGATTTCCCAGCTAAATATAAGTTTTACCTATTGATCCAGTTTATAAGATAGCGAGTAATGTTTTTTCTAACCTAATTCGCTAATAAATGTGTTCATTAAAAGTGTTCGCTTCTGCGCTTTTTGCTAGAATCACAATCTGTAGCATTGGAAATTTCATAGCATCTAGTCTCGGCTTTATGTGTGGCTAGTGATTGGCAAGGATTAAGCGTCCGTGGCTGAGCGGTTAGTGCGCAAGACTCGTAATTCCTAGGTCGCAGTAGGTCGCAGATGCTTTTTTCACTTTTTTTTTATTGTTTTCTTTAGAACTTTAGAGCTTGAACTTGAACTTTGAAGTTTTTTTTTTTCAAAAAAAAACAGGTCACTCTTTTTCAGTTTTCTTGAATTTATTACTTTTTTCGAACTGTCTGCGCTGTCTATACAAACTAGCTTATATGAGTTGTTTGTCTAAGATGTTTGGGAATAGGTTAAAAGAACAGCGCCTATTTAGTTCAAAATAGTCCAGAGGTATATAAAACAAAAACATTCTTATTTTGCTTATGGAAAGAATTAAAGTCGTAAATCATTAAGTTACGTCTAAAAGTCGCGCATTATTTGGACCTTTTTGCGTCAATTAAGGTTAGAATTATTTTTATATGAATCATATAGCTGCGTATGTGCTTTTATTGCGCAAAAGAAAGCTCTTGATAAATTGTTCAAAAATTGGCCCATTTTGTCGGTTTTTCCTCTTAGCTTAATAAAAATTTCAAGAGGTAAACATTATTGTTGACACCAAAAGGGAGACTTGGATTTTGTGTGTTACATCAAAAATATAGCATGGCATGCTAGCAGAAAGGGAAAGCTGCGAAAGCCACGAACTCACAAAAAATGTTAGAAAAATCTCGGAGAAAACTTAAAACTTGATCTACCAATTTTTTGTCGACTTGAATCGCCTCGAATGTAACTTAAATTTTGCTCAAAAGAACGAAAGTTCACGAAGCACTAACTATACATACGATGTTTAATGAGGATACCCGGTTCTTGTGCAAGTACCACAGAAAATGCCGACCACAGTAACAAAAAAATGATTTTTTGTTCAAAATCGTGTTTAGAATTGTTTGTTCAGAATCGTAATATTGACTTCATTCAACTGAATTTTTGTTGCAATTCAAAACAGAATTAAAAATTAAACTTTGCAAAATTAAAACAAAAAACATCAAAACCTAAATGTTTTTTTTGTTGTTGAAATTTTTGTGTTAGTTAAGTGTTAATTGAAACTGCAAAAACCGCTTATTTAAGCTAAAAATTTCTTAATAGCTTAATGTATACTTTACGTTCTCTACTCGAACGCTTCACTTGCTCTAAATAATTATAAAAAGCAAAAATTTGAAACAGGTTTTTCACGGCGCGAGTTTTTGTAGAACTTTCAAAATTTCATTCAAATTACAACTATAATATAATGTATCACTCGATCTATTCTGATGATTGTTTGCAGCAAATTTTGACTGAAAAAAATGTCAAGCCAAAAAAAATTCAAAGTTTTGTTCCCCTTTCCCCTCCTCTCACCAAAACACACACAGACCAATTCGCACTTGAAAAAACAATATATGAGGCGAGTTACAAAATATAACAAGCTAAATAGAGCTGAATGAGTTTTTGAGCTGAAAGTGAAAAATAGAAATTATGCAAAATTGGAGTTGCTAAATATACAATCAACAAAAAAGAAATTCTGAATCGATACCATCGATAAAGTACAGTCACAGCTGTCTGGTATGTATGGAAGCCCCAGTTATTAGGACTTGTGTTCTGGTCGTTGAATCTTAAATTTGGTTGCGGTAAATTGAGGGCTTCCCAGTGCGGCAGGTTTTTCAGGGCTGCTTTTAAAGATTTATATGCGTTTCCTTACATTGAAAGCGTTTTCGTTGTTTCTGCCTGTGTTTGCGAAGTTCAGCTCCGCGTCATTGTAGTGCAGACCACTTCTGTTTCCAAAATTGGATAAAACTATGGGTGCATATGTTTTCGAAACCCAAGAAATTTTAGTTTTGTTAAGACGGAAAATAGGAAGCCAAGCTTTTTTTTGCGGCGCAAACGCATTTCACTTTAAACGTTTCAAGGAATGTCGAATACAAGTGTACTGAAGTTTCGAGATTTTTATTTGACATTCAGACAAGTTTCATGCTCAACTAAAGCATGGATAGCGGATTGCTGTACAAGTAGGCCAGAATGTACCTACCAAACTAATTTAAGACCTAAAATTGAGTAAAGAAAAAATTCTTAAGCGCTTTTTTGCAACTTTTGTTGTCTTCATTTTCCTAGGTTTTTTTTTTCAAGAAAAGGCAATTGATTAAGATGAAAAATGCAGAAAATAGTGGTAGCTTTAGTCGAAATAAAATAACCATTGTTGTTAAATTACAATAAGAAGGTCGGCCTCCAATCAAGTTTCGCCTAAATGAGTCTGAAAAACAGAAAAAATTGCAGACCAGTTTTTCTTGTTACTGAGAAAATTTTTCTCGTTTTTTTAAAAAAAATTTTTGGAATCAATTAACAGCCAATTTTATTTTGTATAATTTAATTCTTGACACCCTATGGGCATTTGTTTGTATCGCAATTGTTTGTATCAACAATGATTTATTTTATTACACTTGCTAACTTAAGCGAGAGATAAGTTATAGTACGACTATTCTTTTTTTCCAACCTAAGTTGCAAATATTGGTGCCTTTTTCGGGGCTGTTACGGCTTTTTGATAGCATGTGATTTGACATTTGATTAGTATTTAAGTGAATCAAATGAACCGAAAAAAATTTTGTTTCAAACAACAGTACAAAAATGAAAACTCGATTTCAGAAATTTTTCAACTCAAAGTATCTCGCAATATAGTTATTTCTATTTCGCAATAGTTTATGAAAAAAAGTTTGACTTGTTGCTTTCAAATTTAATTCAAGCAAAGTTAGTGCGGATGTCTGCTTGCTCTATTCTAATTTATTTCAAGCAAATTTGTGTATATTTGTTCTTCGTGCCACTTTTTCTTCATCGGATTGGCAATTTATTAGCATATGATGCTGCTTTGTTTTTGGCTAGTGTTTACAAATCAACGGCGCATATTGCAGATCCGAGCACAGGGGAATATAAATATTCTGGTCTTAGAATCGATTCCGCCACTGCGAAGGATTTTCTTTTCAATGCTTTTTTTAATCCTTTTTTTTTTAAATTTCATTTTTGGAGCTACCTACTTTTCTGTCGTTTTTTTGCTTGTGTTTGCAAAGCGCAGCTTCGTGTCTGTGTCAAAATTTTGAATTTGAACTTATAGTTATATTTCACTTTATGCGCCGGCTGGCTCCTCGGCGTTTTTTCGCCACCAATTCGAGCGCGCGAGTTCGGTCTTCTTTCAACGAGCAACCGTGAGAGTTTTAACGTGATTCAATTAGTATGGAAGACGACGAGCTGTCAAAATTGACTAAGATTTTCCTCTTTTTTTTCGTTGTGACTAGCTGCCCAAGCTACGGAAAAAAAATTGGATATTCGATTTCTTTTTCGGGAAAGACAAGGGAATTAAAAGGAGGACGATTTAAGTCTGAAAGCTATTCATTTTATTACTTTAACTACATTCGTAACTCATTGTATATGTTTGGGTCTCTCACACCGGATGATCAGGTTCAAATCCTGATTGGAGACAAAAAAAAATATTTTTATTTTTGCAGTTCGCTATATCGTAGAAGAAAATATTTCAATTTTTTTTTTATTATCTATCACGCGCACTACCATACTGAGTGGGCAGCTTCCATTCTTCATCTGAGAGAACTAATTTTCTCAAGATTTACTTGACATTCAGATGTCACATTTTATTCAGAGTGTAGTTTTCCTATCTACTTAATTAAAAAAGATTAAGTTCATTTGGTTTTGACTTGGAAAACTTAGTTGATCCATTGATTTTAATGGGTATAGATTAAATGTTGATCAGAATGATCTTTCGAAATTCATTATCAGTTTTTGTTGATTTTATCGTTTGATTAATTTCCTCTTTCTTGATATAAGTGTGTAGCAGGATACACAGGTAGATTTAGAACACTTTGTTGTTTGCAGTGAAATTTCGGCTATGGCTCCTAGACATAAAATAAGGTCGACGCATAAAATAAGGTCCGTATACAAGATCTAATGGATCTACTCGACAATCCCTTTCTTTTGCAAAGGTATCTTGGTAAGGAATAATCACGAATGGCACATGCATTTCTTCTATAAATATCACCCCCTCAGGGATTCTACCCCCTGCTTACCCAAAGGGTCCACCCTTTGAACTATTTTGAGATATCTATTTTTGGCTGACGGACCCCAAAGTTTTTCTAAAAGCGCCAATCTACACTAATTTTGAGGGGGAGCGCTCGCCAAAAATACGCAATTTTTTGGTCAAAAATTTTCAAAAAGTGCCTAAAAACGCCTTTTTAGTACTTTGGGAGAGCTCAAAAAATCAATTTACTCGACTTAAAAAAAAGTCGATAAAATTTTCGAATTTTTTTTTTTGAAAATCCGCCCCCCCCTACTGAGAAAATCCTAGATCCGCCCTAGGAACTCGACTACCAGTTGAAATTTTTTATTAACTTTAATGAGCAAGCGCTAAATGATTTTGTTTCATCTGAATTAGTCTTCTATTTGCCTTGTTTCTGCTGGCGTATGCAACTCGCAACTGCACCTCTGTGTCTTGAATTATGAGATCAAAAAATGATTTATGCCTAATTACAGCCAAGTGCACTAATTGATGCTTTTTAACCTTCAATGTGAACCTCAAATCATTTTTAGCATAATTATGAAAAAGGTTTTATAGCTAAAGTATATTTTGAATTTAGACTTGCAGAAGGAATTGTACTTAATTTCGGTGGCAAACGAAGCTGCGGAAAGCTACAACGAAAAAGAAGTAATAGGAAAGACAATTGCCGAGCATGTTTACGAGTCACTTGTTCAGGCCTTCATGCGATCTGTTCAGTTTGCAGACCAGCTTGACGAAAACTCAAGAGATGAGCTCTTGGGCGAAACGGAAGCATCAAATATTATTCATCACGTAGAACATTTCCACATTCTGTTTGATGAAAAGAGGTATGAACAAGCAGCTTGGCACGCGGCTGATAGCCCCAAAGGCGTGATGAGAAATGCAGAGACGTTCCGAAAGTTCAAAGAAGTTCAAGACAATAACCCCAATGAGAGGATAATGTACCATTACGCAAAAGCTATCATGTCAACTCAACAAAATGGAACGACGACTGTTCTTAACGACGAAATGAGCTCCGAATTCGTTCGAGCAATGGTCAAAACCGGTGAACAAAAGCTAGTATATCAGTGGTTTCAGAACGGTTGGTTAAGTACTTCGAAACAAGTTGCCGATTTGTTGGCGTGCGATAAGCATAACCAGGTCCATGGTTCAGTGGTCGCAGAAAACATCTACATGCGTTTGGGGTTGTACCATGACGCTATAAGATGTATGGCCTTCAGAGGCGACATACCAGCTGCTATTTCATTCGCCCAGGACACTGCTTGTTTCGAGCGTGCAGACTACATTGACCTTCTGCTTTCTGTGCCTTCGGTCAAGTTAGCTCGAGCTTTGTCAATGCAGAAATACCCTGGAAAAGACCAAGTGTTATTACCTTGTGGCCAGATTGCGTTACTTCTGCTGAAAGACATCAATATCGAAGTGGCTGGCGAGTTTTTACGCACTTTGGATTTTACACTTCTTGTTTTGGCTCAAAATGTGGCGAAATTAGAAGAAGCTTCAAGCCAGGCTATCATTGAGCCAAATTGTATTTTCAGCGACAAGGAAACGAGTTCAGAAGATTGGTTGCACATAGTAAAGCAGTTGGAACACACGGTGTATGAAGACTTAGGAGTGGAAATTGTGACTGCTCTATCTGTGAATGATGCTCTTACCAATTCTTTGTCAAATTCCATTTGATGAATACTCAGATGGTTTCAATATCTCTAAATTTACGATTAAGAGTAATGAACGTAGTGAAGACTCTTATATAGGTCTTGCTGATTTTTTTTGTTTTTTTTTGTCAGGAAAAGTCTTAAAATATTGATGCACTTAGGTATAAGGCACTTTTTGAGTTCAATTGAAATTCATCTGCTGAAAGTGACGTCAAAAGCACTCTCCAAATACGAACGTAGAAATGGCGCTAAAAACGTGAACGATTTCTAGTTTCGAAAGTGGAATTTATTTATAAGATTTCTCAGCGGAATAAAAACTTTACCTGTTGAACCAGTTTTCTCAAGTTGGGTTCATGTTATCAAAAAAGCGCCAATCATAAATTGTTCTAGAAATTCAAATAGCTTAAAGGGCAACTATTTTTTTCTTTGAATTTTCGAAAGTTGAGATTTTTTCAAGAAAGTTTTATGTTTACTTGCGTTCGTTACTCTTTGCCAATCTTCGATTGGCTATGTTAACTATTTTTGCAGGTAAATAGAAAACCAGTATTTCATTTTATAAACTTGTTGTTTTAATTAGAGGTAGAGGGTGGCATTCATGCAGCTAGTAGCTCGCATTTGAATTCAATAAAAAAATTCAGCTCGAAGCCCATCATAAGATGTGCTGGTCGCAAAAATATGACAAAAATTGAAGAATGATTGAACAAGGTTAACAAGCTAGAGAAAATAAATAAGCTAGTATAGTAATAATTAGCTTATTACATTGATAATCTTGAAACAATGAGTTCAATGTCCTAAAAATTTGACTAATTTATGGGCGCCTTATGTCCGTTTTTCTGTACCCAGATACAAGAAGTAATTGGGCAACTTGATTTTGAGACACAATTTAAACGTTTTTGATTGTGTTTTATGCAAGTTGATTTGAGAGCCGAAAAAAATGTTGTAAAATTTTTTAAACTGAAAGTTTGAGAAGAGCCTCAAGGTCGTTAATTTTGTTTTACAAAGCTCGGAGCCAATTTCATATCATCGAATTTCAAAATTTCAAGGCCAGTGGACAAACTCTTACGGTTAAATATTAAATACGCAAAATTAAACTGACAAATTTTATAAACACTGATATCATTAGAATTGTAAAATTATCTTCGTAATTCTTCCATTACGAGGCCAAACTGAGCGTTTTGTGCATTGTAAGCGGATTCCGCAACAAGGACGCTCCTTTTGTTCTTCTTTTGTTCTTTCCTTCTCTTTGATCGTTCCGACAAAATTTTAACATGTTTAAAGACTTGTTTCTGGAACCCAGGAACATACAGACACAAACTTGTGCTCCTATCCAGTGCACATTTTGGCCTCGTAATGTTCGAGGATTCTTCGTTACGGAAAACTTCAAAGAAATATATTTTTTTGACTATGCTAAACATTTTAACTTGTGACGAGTTCACATATTGAAGGTGATAGTTCTTTCTTGCAGGAAACAAGCGCAGATCCTAATGAGAGAACAAAGGGCAAACCAGGCGGATACAGAGGCTCGGTAGTGGGTTCAGCCTGGGCTACACTATGAAGCCGAAGATCCCTATCAAATCCTACGGGGATGTAGCTGACTTCAGGAGAAGACACCAGACGATAATGGGACGGAGACATGCTGGAACCTTAATGAGATGGGCCTTGATGCATGGCGTGGAAACAAACCCAGGCCCAAAGAAGTGGAGATGCACGAAATGCCTAGTTGTCATCTCAAGGAAGACTTGGTCTGTAAAGTGCAACGGATGCAAGGAATGGCTCTACTGGTATTGCACGAAACTAGGTTAGGACGTACAGTGGTCCCGGGAGTTTCTAGGAGATTGCTGCCAACCAACCGAACGAGCGAGAAGACATTCCCAAGGGTGAACCAGTAGGTAAACATCTGAGAATGCATCGCCTGCCGAAACGTAGGAGAGAAAGAGGACAGAGCCTACAGGACTAAAAATTGACCAATGCCGCAAAAACCCTGGGGAAGCATTAGCTCACCACAATTTGGACGTAGAATGTCAGAAAGGCATGGGTAAGTTTTCCGAGAAGGAAAAGGTTTTGAGATCCTACGAGAAGTGGCGAAGTCAAAAGCTGAGATGGTGGGTGCTCTTCTCCTAGATACTCGAGGAGACACCAGGTAAAAAATGGGGCATAATTGCAAAGAGGAAATCATCTCCCTTGCAACGGAAGCCGCTAGTAAAACCCGCATGTCATGGACCAGAATCGACAAGTATGACGATATGGCCGCATGTCTTAAGCGTGGGCTTTGCGCGTTGTTTAAAGTTAAATGATGGCTTCGGAAATCAAAATCGACAAGTAGCAGTGAGGAAATTATAATCCAAGCAACGTAGAATCAACGATGCTGTTCGACTCGGCGGTAAGACTATGGTATTCCGCTGAAATTTTAAAAAATGAAGAGTGTGGCGGACAAAGCTTACAGATTCATATGGAACGGAGGGCGAGTGCTTGCCCTAAAATGCATGCAAGAAACCAGAACAAACAGCTACCAGATCAGAAATGAGCTAAGAAAAACCTCAATGCGGAGCAAATTAGAGAAGAGGGCACTGGAACGGATCGCACACGTACTGCGCATGCCCAGCACCAGGACAGTGAGAAAAGCCGTATTAGGACATTGGAAGAAAAAACTGATTAAAAAGAGAGGCTTGCACAATGGACTGATATCCTACTAGCGAAGACTGCAAAACGAGATGTGCAAAAACTGGACATACCAGTAGAACCTTACCCGTGACCGGAAAAAGTGGAATAAGGCGATAAAAATACGTACCATCCTTCTTAGAAAAGTGGGAGTCGCAGATGTGCGGGATCCAGCAGTAAAGAGCAGAAACCGCGAAAATCACAATACGCGACAGAAAAATTGCCAACACAAGGCTACAGGTGCCAATAGGTGGAATGTGACCGCATATGTGCAAACAAGAGCGCAGAACACAACACGAGCTGAAAATCCATCTAGAACGGCCAAGGACCAGGGTTCATGGGAAAATCACGTCAGAGCTTGTACAGAAGCGAAAGAGAAGCAAAAACCGGGTAAACGTGCCACCTGCAACATATGCGGCATCGAGCAGAGTGCGACTAACCTGACAAGGATTAAGAGAACGAAACACCATTTAGACCAAAGAGACAGCGTCTAATGTCCCAATTCTAGGACGTCACGGGTCGTAATAGAATGAAGAAGAAGCAGAACGACTGGTGGTTTCAGAGTTCAGGCCAATTTAATTGGAATTGACAAAACCCCATTGATGTTTTTCGCGTTCTATTTTTCCATTGGATAGGTTTGAATTCATTTTTGATGCTTTTCAATACCTCCTTCGTTTGCCATCAGCATGGAAAAAAAATTGCCAAAACATAGACCAGTAAAAAAATTCTAATCACGGGCACAACAGCGGTTCTCCGTGAAGAGCTCTTTATAGTTATTTTTAACGGTTTGTGACAACTTCTTAAACCATGTCTTCATTGTTCGAGCAGTAACATGGTGGCTGGCATGCAGCACAATATTTCTAAAGGGCTCAGCAAAATTTTATTGTAATTTTTATTGTAAATTTCCATTCTAATTTTGATTATAATATTTTATATGATTTTCTAATGAATGAGGCGCAAAGTTTTCATCTTTATTTTATGGTCATGAAAAAATTTCAATCCTCTTGAACGTTTCTCTTCGTGTTCTTTTTTCATTCCTTTCACGTTCCACTCTTGTTCGCAGAAGCCGGGCGCAATCGGCTCTGCAGGAACTCCGCGATTGATCAGCCGACATCTCAACTCGTCCAATCTTGACTGAGCGTCGTTAATATCCGTCGTATTTTTGTTACTCCAAGCCCGTTCGGCAACTGTTGCTGCTCTCGGCCAGGTTGTGGCTAAAAAATTTGTATCGTCCACGTACTCGCCCCACATGCATGCTTCGCAGCCCACAAAATGGTCTTTTTGCGTTTCAGTCCCGCTGAAGTCCATTGGTTCGACTTGGTAATAATTCTTCCAGTCCTGACCATAGCTTATGTAGTTAAGGTACCACGGCGCGGATAGAATGACGTCAAATCCTTGTGCGGTTACAGACGAGAGCTCATCCTGGTATCCCCCTGATTTCCAGACATTGACCACAGTTGATTTCGAGATGTTAAGACCGTTGTCAAATACTTCCTGCCACACAACTGCCTGTCTCTTAAGCGGAAGGTTTTGAACAATCTCTAGGAGTTTTTCAATGTAAAAACTTTCCAGACCGGCGTAATCAGTCAAGTTATATTGGTCAATGAACTCCTGGTAAATGGGGTTACTTTCCCAGCAGTCATACGCAACCTCGTCGCCACCGAGAAACAATGTTTCGTCCAGAAACAAAGAATTGATTTCAGTGAACAACGCTTGGACAAAATCATACGTCGTTTGGATCCTGGGATCCAGAGGGCCAGAATAGGTCGTAGTACCAGAGTCATCAATGCACTGGCTTAGAAGTTGCGGATATCCGGCACCCCAGGAGAGGGTATGTCCAGGAGTGTCAAATTCGGGAACTACCCGAACGCCTCTGAGTCGACTGTATTCCAGAACTTCAATAACGTCGTTGTATGTGTATATGTGAGTGTATGCGTTGAAAGCACCGTCACGTGCTAGATCAGGATAGACTTTACTTTGAAATGGGAAACTAGGATCATCTACTATATGCCAATGAAGAACGTTATACTTCGTGGCTTCCATAGCATCAATGTGAAGTTTTATGTTCTCTAAACTGAGAAAGTGTCTCGAACTGTCAATCAAAAATCCCCGGAAGTTGAACCTAGGGTAGTCGTGAATCGACGTTTTGTTCATGACTCTCATTGAAGTGCTCACGTCCTTGTACATGAGTTGAGTAAAAGTTTCAATGCCCCTGAGAGCGCCCCAAACTTCGCTGCTAATTAATGTACTTGTACCCGAACTGACATCCAGATCGTAGGATTCATCCATTTCTGATGTTGGGTAAGCGTCGGTGCAACCAGCGCCAACATCAATTGTAAGAGTTTTCAGAACACTGTCCGAATAAAATTGCTCAGCTTTTTCTGATTGTCGGTAACGGTAGCTCATTCCTCCCATTATTATATCCATATGTCGCTGGACAGATTTTTCCAAAATTTCGCAGTAATCTCCAGCTACTATCATCTGGAATGAGGTAGAAATTTGAAGGACTTGGTCGGACTTGGATTGCTGCTGAGGCTTTGGCCAAACTTCGCCCCTGGACGGAGAAACAGTGGTAACGCAAGCGACATTTTTGAACGCAAAAAAAGCAAGCAGTGACGCTGGTATCAGCACAGTTTTGATCATTTTAACGCCACCTTGAAATTATTTGAGTAACTTTACGAGAATTTTTAGATGACTTATGTTTTGATCTTTGATTGAAACTAAATCATCAGAAGTGAACAGGCGTTTGACTCCAGTTTCTGTTTGATTGGTATATCGCAATATGTCGCTTGAATAAATATTCCAAGTTCAAATTTGGAAACGAAAAGCCCCAATGATAAGTGTTAGAGGTCGATTCAGAAAAGCTGTTATATTTAACTCTTTCGGTTTTATTAAGTCAAGTAAAGCGTTCTCGTTGAAACTATAGTATTTGTTGTTTGGACCACTGAAAATTGGGAGGAACTTTGTATTTATTCGTATCTCAATTCAGTCATGATTCAATTGATTTTTGAAAAGTCTAAAAAGTTTTCTCCGTGTCGAAAAAAATTGATTTGAAATGATTGTTTTTAAGTCAAATTTGGAAGCGAAGAATTAAACAAAAAACGATGTTTCCAGAACAGAACATTTTAAAACAAAAATTGACTGTGGCTTAGCAAAAAAATAACACAGATTTTTTTTGGCACAGAATTTGTTGTTTCTGAAATGTTGTAGTTTCATTTTGAGTAAGTTTTTGTTTTTGGTGTGAGAAAATAATTATCGAATTTCCTAGTTTTCATGCAAGAGTTTCAATTGCAAAAGTTAATAATAATACGACCATTGACAATGGAGAGAAACTTTGTAATCGTGATTTTTTATAGTTTTTTTTTGTTTTTTTTTCTCACAAAATCAGGTACCTTAAAAATTATTCTGAATGGAATTAGTGATATATCATATTTAAGCCCTTTGCAGTCATGATTGGAACGAAGCTAAATAACTTTTCTTTTTGGTTAAATTATGAAAAAAGATCTTAAATAAATGTTAATTGCAATTAGTAGTACAACCAACTTTATTTCAAGTAAGGTTAGGTAAACTGCGTTCTAATTTAGATGTACCTAATTAGAATTTTGAATGATATATATAAATAAATAATACTTATACACCTACAATTAAAATCAGTTTAATTTTGTTGTGCAGTTTTAAATGAATTTTTTAGGCCCTTTTAGCCTACCCTCTCGCTAGGTTTTCTGCCTTGTGTGTTTATTCTTTTGTTGATCATCGTGGTGGCATTTTGGTGCACTAATTCTTACAACTGGCGTCTCCTGTCCGGCATCGTCCTCCTTCGCTTCCCAGTATGGCGTGTGCCGGGGCGCTGTTCCCGTCTTGGTTGGTATGCCTCCCCCTGTGTTCAGTGCTTCATCCGCCCTATCGTCGACGCTCGATTCAGGTTTCCTTTTTCGTTTGTTTTGGCTTTTCGCTAGTAGTTTCCGTTGGCGTTTTTGCGCGTTTTGTTTTTGATTTTCATTCGTTTTGAACCGATGGTTTTTCGCGCCCACCAATAAGTTGCCAGTACTCTCACTTGGTGTATCTGCTCAAGTCTTTTCGCTCGTTTTTCCCGCCATACTTCTTGACAGTCCCGCTATTTCCGGCTCTGGCTCATATCTAAACCCGACACCGCTTATTCAAAACAAGTAGCTTATTTTCATTTTTAAGGTATGTGGTGGTATTTTACAATTTTTTTGGTCTGTTTGATACGTTTTTATACCTAATTGGATCCTTTGAATCGATTCTTTCGGTTTGTTGGTACATCGTGTATGTTTTCGTTGGCAGTTTGCCGTTCTGTGTCTCAGCTTTGACGTGGCCCTGGGGTGGTGGAGCTCGATTCTATTTTCCACTAATTCACTCTCGTCCAGAATTTTGGTGCGCGTCGGTTTTGTGAGGCCGTTATGGGATCACTTTGCTTTTCCCAGTCTTCCATACAGATGGTGCCGTCGTTGTCTCTTCCTCTTGCCCCTTCTAAGCAAGACATTTTGTGGTTAATTACATTGCTCCAGTTAAAGTTTTTCAGCGACGGACTTTTTGTAGGGTTTCATAACACCGTATTCGCTTCTCGTCTATAATGAGCCTCGAATGGCATAATTTTTGTTTTGCTAAGTGGGACAAAAGCTCAGGCGCTTAACGACCTAGGTACCAGTGGTTTGAACTTTTGCTCCTTACATTCCTTCAATTTTTTAATGACACAGTTTTTGAGTGCCAGCTTTTCCACCATTCCAGTCGCACTGTATTACCAACCTGGTACTTTTTATTAGTTCCGTGGTGTCAATATTGCAGAAGTTTTGGATTTAGTTTGTTGGAAAGCAACTAACGCATACTTTTGTCTTCTTTTTACTCAATTTACAGGTCCCCAGAAGTCTAGTTGAGCCACTTCATTTTGTTTCATTGGAATATATATATTTCCCTGTGGAATATTGATTTCGCTGGAGATTGCCTCTCTCATATCCAATCAGAGGCAATTTTGTTGCACTGCACAGTCAGGCATTTGTGGGCTATAGTTCTGGCCAAGATTCGTCACTATTTTTGTTTGCCCTCGAATCTTGTCCCGTATGGCGTATCGGATGATTTGAGGATGGGATCCTTTTCCAGGGGGAAAAATTCACCTTGGGGGAAAAACTTTTGGAGTGCTACAGTAGTTTATCGAGTGTAGAAGTAGAAAAAATTTTTGCCATTTTTTGCGACGTTTTTTCGGAACTTTTAAAGTATCAAGTAGAGTATGAGCATTTTAAATTGTATCCTTGAGAACAAAGTCTGATTTCACGCTTGCTTGAGTGCATACAAAACGCTCTGTTGCCATTGGCTGAACTTTGCTCGCATGATAGTAAATCCTCGGCCAGTTGATGCAATTGACTTGTTGTATTCGCATACTCATCGAATTGCGTGTTTCTTTTTTTAGCTGAAACGTAATTGCGAACGAATTTCGTCGCTCTCGACCGTTCGGTTATTTAAATTTTTGATGCAATTTTCTATTCCCCCATGGCTTTTTTTGGTGTCGCCCTGGGCGGATTTAGTGAGCTACTACTCATTTTAATCTGAGCGAGAGGATCGTAGTAACTTGTGGGGGGAGTGTTATTTTGCAGATAACCGATCATTCACATTTTGTTTTTTCGTCGATGCCTTAAAATCTTACGGTAGCATTCGGTTTCTGTCGCACCAGCGAGTTAACCCTGCTGATGAACGTTTTGTACCCTTTCGGTGATGAATTTAGCAGCAGCTCGAGTTGGTTCGTTTAGTACTTCTGTTTGGTCGCATTAAGGTACTGCGTTGCAGGCTAAATAGAACGCTACCCCTCCTGACTATGTTGTTTCATATTGTTCGATACGTGACGCCCGGTGTATGTTTGAATTCGGTTACATTGGCAACTGATCGTTCAGAAAGCTCAATATCGTTTCACATTCTCGTGTGTAATCGAAGCCTTCCTCTGACTTTGCAACGGCCTCAGGAATGCATTCATTTCGACTAAGTTTTGCTCAATTCCCAGTAAAGCTTTCATTTTTTTGTCTTGTTCGCGGCGCTTTTAACTCGTCCATCGCCTTAGTTTTCCCTTTCACAGGAGTATTTTGAGAGCTACCTATTTGAAATACTAGTCATGTGCAGCTGATTTTTGCAAACTAGCTCCTTCGGATCTTTAGCGAGGCGTTCACTAACTCGAACTTTTTCATAATTTTTCTCGATCAGTACTATTTGTTCAATCTTAGTTCCATAATTAGGACATCATAATTAGGCCTCAAAAACCGTTTTGGAACAAATACGTTCCGGTGCCATTTCCCCCAAATAGTGAAGAGTTACACTGTTTGCTTATTTTCTTTCTAACGCTACTTGTGCTTAAGCGCTCGAACGTCGTGAAATAGACGTCTCCCCTTTTCTTTTGTTGAATATTTGACTTTTTTCGTTGATTAACTCATCTATGTTAGGCATCTAGTACTTGTTTTTGTGTACCTATTTGTTCAGTTCTCTGGGTTCTAGTGCCATTTTTATACTTCCGTCCTTCTTTACAGTAATTTTGATTGGAGACACGAAACGTTCGTCCTAACTTTCCTCAAGTTTAACAAAATGTACCTCCTGTATCTTCGTGTGGTATCCCTATCTATCTTGTCTTGTAAACTTTTGGGAACCCTACGATTTTTGACGCACCAGTTTTCACACGTCAAAAAAGACTGCACGTACCGCAACTGTTTTCGAAAAAAATTGGGTACAAATTTCAGAAGTCTGTCTGCCACTCATCGAGTCTTTTCTCTTCCTCTTTGCTAGCGCCCCTTCACCCGATCCTTCTAGCTCATCAGCCGATCCCTCTGAGCATGTTCGAAGCCCAGGGATCCCATTAAATCTCGCCCCATTATTGACTGATGATTTCCTTTGAAGACCGATAACTTTCCTAGCGTGACCCACCTGTTCAACTCAATTGCTACTTCTGCTTTTCCGAGTATATGGATTCTGTTGTTGTTATAGTCTAAGCACTCAACTTTTCCTGGGAGTAGAAGAGTATTCGCTTTGCCGATGGTGTGCTTTAACTATTTTTAAGCTGACAATTGTTATGGGGGACGCACAGTCCTTTGCCCTCACCGCAAACGTTTGCCACTACTCTAGCCCTTGGATCTTTTATCTCCTCAATTTCTGTTAACTTTTTATCACCATCACTATATTGTCGCTCGATCGCGTGGACGAATTGCATTCTCTTCAACTTCTGGGTTCACCCATCTGACCTGCTGGTCCTGGCTGCTGCTTGCCATGCTTTCAGTGCTTGGGTGGTGCTTCTGTCAATCCTGCACCATTTTCAACTCGTCCTCTACCCCTCCACTGGTTAGTTGCCCGAGATATTCTCTCAAAGTTGCTAATTTTTTGGCAAGCCTTACAAGTTAAATAACCTGATTGAAATAGCCTGAACTCCGTCCTATATTTCCTACCGGCACTTGCTTTATGTAATGTGAAGCGCTGTTGACGCTGGTTCAACTGTATGTGATTTGTAAGGCCGATCAGCTCGCTCACAAAAAAAAGCCACCCGGTACACTTCCTCCGGCTTCTTGGTTGATCGAAACAATTCCTGTTAACAGTCCGATTCCTGCACATTCTTTACAAATATATCCCTCACATTTTCCGCTGCGTTTGTGAAATCTAATTTTCTTGCGAGCGCACTGAGCTGCACGTAAAAATTTTCAAATGTTTAGTTTTTAAATTGCTTGTGTCCGTAAATCAGCCCCTTTTTGTGCGTAACAATTTTTTCTTGTTAAAAGCGCGCTCCATCTTGTCCAGTACCCTGAGGTA